CGTTAAGGCCAAAGTCTGTGCTCCTCTGGTGTAAGATTAGTACATAGTCATTAAAGGGCTTTGCTGGACCGCTTTCAGTGAGTGCGCGTGTGTGCATTATGCATCTCAGGGTTCAATGGGTAATGATGATTTGGCTCATTATGAATCATAATGTGAACCAGGGGAAAAACTTGCCCAGAAACGACATGTAGGAGAAGACCTGGGCAGACGGCCATGTTTCCCAGGGACTGACCGCCTTGGCACGTGCATGCCACACACATACGCTAGATTTTGTTTTATTTTCTGCTCTTAGGAGTATAGAGAGATACTGAACTATTTAATTTTTGTAATTTATGGGCAATCTTGTCACTTACAGACACTATTTATCTTTTTTTTGGGACATTCAGTTAAAGAATATGGCAGTAAGGAAGGTGGGGGCATGTCCCAGATATTTGCGCCACAAAAAGCTCAACACCTGATACATTAAATGAGCTCCCATAGGACTCAAGCAGTGGAATCAGATGTGCAGCACGCAGCAAGAACTCATGCACACACTGACGTCCTTGAGGACTAGCCCTTTCCTCCACATTCTGGGGAACTGTACGTTCTCTTGTGGAAAAACTCACATTTCTCACATGTTGGGATAGCTAGTAGACGTACAGCACAGGGGTCAGAGTTGTGTTTTTTTTGACTGGGAAAAAAAAAATCTCCTTAAGTTACAATTCTTGGTAGATGAAACAAAAGTTGTGATAATCTTTTGTGATAGTCATAACCTTTTTTTTTTATTATGTCTTTTTTGGAAATAAATGCAGTAAAGTGGTTTTATTTTAACATATAGCTATTTATTATTTTTTGTCCACCAAATCATTTTATTTTAAAATATATATGCTATGTGTGCATTGCTAAATTCATGCGGTGTAAAAAATATTTTTAAAAACTTGTCTGCAAGTGTTGATTAAGATGTGTAAACTTAAGTGTATACAATGCATATGCAAAATATCTCTTTAATTATTTGATTTTTTTATAATAATATTTTGTTAATTGTTTTTCAATAATATATGAAATCGACATAACTACAGAGAATTTTAAATTTTTTTTAGAAGTTGGCAATATTTATTTATTTATTTTAAGATTTCAAATTTTTATCATCATCATAATATCTCTGCATCAATGGCAGATAAGACACCATAATTTCAGAGACTTTTCTTGGCTCTGAAGCTCCAACATGTTGTGACATTCGGCCATAACACAATTATCACAACCACAGGAAGCTGAACAGGTTGATGGGACATTTTGATGATGGTTTTTTTCTGCCCTCGGTTGCTCTCGACCCTGATTGGATGGGAGAGGCTCTGGCATTTTAGAGGCATGTGTGACCTGTCCTTTAAATGGATGATCAATTCCCTAAGCATGTCTGACATTTGCTTATGCGCTGCTGTTTTCTGCTTGCATGTAATTATGGACAATATTGCAGAGGACAGAGCAGACAGGAAAAGCAGGGGATGGGCTGAGCTTGCCAAAATCATTATTAGAACAAACAAATCATCTAACAAAGTTTTCAAGTTCAGTCTGTTGATGCTCAAAAGGCTTTAATATAAACTTTAATATCTTCTATTTAACTGTTCTGGATAATGATATCTCATGCAAGCCAAGCCAGTGCATACAGAGATAGAGAATAGACCCAGGGTTTTCAACCTTATTACTTCTATTTTTTTTTCTTTCGTTTGTTCATTCTTTCGTTCTTTCAGTCATTTGTTTGTTGGGTTGCTTGTTCATTCTTTCTTTCGCTCTTACTTTAGATCTTTCGTGCTTTCTGTAATTCTCTAATTTTTTTCTAATTTTCTTTCATTCCTTGTTTGTTCTTTTGATACGTCTGTTATGTTATTTATGCATTCATTTATTTTAAATATTCCTGTAATAATTTTTCTTAACTGTTTATTCATCTTGAATATTTATTTTATTTATTTGAAAAACCGTAGGTTCCTGGGTTGAATGTGTGTCTAGGTGGGGTGCGTCCCTAGTTCAGTAATGGTTGAAAAACACCAGTCTAGACCACTAAACTTTATTGAGAGTATGGTAGCGCAAGCTTAATAGTTACAGATCCTAGTTTGTTAGCGCACAAGTTGCTGGTTTGAACCCACTGGAGACCATGAAGTTGCTGATGTTACGTCGATTACTATTTTGCCCTTGAGCATGGCGCTTAAGCCTGGATGTTTCTGTGGGACTGGCTCGTCAATTAGTGTACTGTAAATCACTTTGTATGAAACTGTCCGCTAAATGACACCACTAACTAATGAGAATCAGGTTCAAGGCGAACGATAGCTACAATTACCTAAGGAAACTTAGCTTCATGGTTTATTAATGTCATAACCTGCACAGAGTTGATCTAATTGGCCTGTTGTCAGGCTAGGAGGGCTCAACACTAAGCAGACAGGTCGATCCGTGACCCAGGGCATGCTCCAGGATGTTTACCTCCGCTGCTGTGATTCCTGACGGAAGACGCCACCAGGTGATTGGAGCTTCTGCTGTGAGATCATGACTTGGCTGCTTAATGTGAGATTCTTGTTGTTTGATGTTGCCGCTGCCAGCTATATTCACGTAAAGATTTGTTTGGATAATGCGGGTTTCAAAGAGCAGGCTTGATACTGAGCGAGCATCCCCCTTATCCAAGACTTTTTATCTTTTTTCTCGTCTACTGGATTTTTAGTGTTATTTTTTATTAACGTGTAATGGGATAAACTACTTGGAACACAAACCAAAATCCTGGTTTTAAAGGAAACACTCATTATGAAGTAGCCCAAACATGGTTCTGTAGCGATAAACGAAAACTTGAAAAATAAGGATTTTCTTCCTTTGGCTCTCATTATTTTTTTAAACAGCATCTAAACAGCCAGACTCTCTTTGGAAACCCCAAATATATTGGTGTGTGGGGTTGATATTTTGCCTCGGATTTGCTGAAGATTCAGCTATTGAATGGAAGGGATGCAAAAAAGCCAATGTTTGCTTCCCTCAAGTCACAAAAAGCAGTCACCATGGTGATAAAGGGAGAACTATAAAGGAAGGACAGAATAGTAAAAAAAGAGAACAAGAGATGGGCGGAGAGACTTTCAGTGGAAGCAGCTGTATCTCTTGTATGTGATGATTAAGACCTCCATCTCCTGCGGTGGGGACAGTCAGGGCAGCAGCCCACAGGCCCAGTGCACCATGGTTAGGATAAGAAGGGCCGATCCTGTGGTGTAATGACCTGCTGCTGCTGACCATGTCGGTCTCCTGCTGGTCATGTTTGTGTCCTGGCTGCAAGAATCAACAATTCCTGGTAAGAAAATAAAAATGAATATGTAGGGAACAGAGTGTAGAAGATATTGAGCATAAGAAAAACTGAATCATTTACTCAGAAAGATAGAAAGACTGCTAACGGATGTATGTAATGGCAGCTGAATGCACATAGATCACTTGGTTGTTTGATCTGAGTGAGTTGTCTGAAGTTGGACAGAATCAGAGTGCTGCAGGTCTCGATGAAAAACACAAAAAACATTTTGCTCTACCCTTCCTCTCTTTTTGAGTTCCTCTCATCCTCTCTGTGTGTATGTCCTGTTGGTTGCACATTCAAAGCGGCCAACACTTTCCCTTAGGTCTTAAATGTATTTTGATCCCCCCTGTGTGGAAAACACCACAGCAACTGCAGTTTGTACATGGGAAATACAAACACACATGACCTCATAAACCACACTGCCCAACACACACTAGAGGTGGAAAGTTAACTCTGTATTGTGAATTGTGAGGAGTATGAATGCATTGTGTTGCCACCATCAGAGGTACAGTAATTACAGAACTTTGCTTGTATGGCTAAATGGCAGGTACAGAAATGTACAATGACTTGACTTAAAGAAAAATGCAAATGTAAATCTTGACTGTACTTGATATACTGCAACATCAGTCACAGCTTATCTTGTGACAAAAAAAATGTGTGGAAGCAGGCAAAAGCAATTTTTACCCTCCGCATCTTCAGAGAGAGGAAGTCAGAAAGATAAATCGCACATAATCAATTTCCTCATTAACACGCCGTGCCTTTGAGAACCTCAAACAATGAGAAATGGGAAGGGCGTAAATGTTTTCTTATCATGATTTGTGTCATATCTGGGGGGAAAAAAACATGCACACACTCTCATCATAAACAGCCTACTGGCTTAAAAATAGAAGAAACAAATATCAGCCTCTGATAGATATGTATGTCTAAGGATATTAAATGTCTTTGGGAGGTATGGAGGTTTCCTGATTCTTGTTCTTGTTTTTTTTCCCCTTGTTTTCTTTTGTACTACTTCTTCTTCTGTCATTATGTTCTACTAGCATTAGGCTGGAAGAAGTAGAATGAATCAAACATTAGAATAAAGATGCTGACTAACTTTGTTTTGCAATGTTCAATATTTATTTGCATTTATTTTGTTTTTGTCTTATTTATTGTTTTAGTATGAGTTTTGCCAACTAATTTCTAGTAATTGCGTTTTTGTTAAGTCAGTAATCAAACAGGCAGGAATCTTTGTGGAGTTTGTTTGTCAATTCTAGGAGCTCTTAATTTCAAATTTGGCAAGCGGCAGACACTCATTTTGGCATGTTTCTTTGCAGGCTTCTCCAAAAGTAAAAGCCTTTCAGACTAATAAAAGAAGTTTGAAGATGATGATCAATATTCAATAGTTTGAAAATGAGGGTAATCATTATTTGTAAGTCACAAAAATCTTTTCTTTTCAAAGCATAATAATTAGTAAGGCATTTGTTGTTCATTCATTGTGAATTTTTACACATGACATATTCTCAAACAGCACATATTCTCTTTCAAGGCAAGTCATAGGCATATTCTCTTTAAAGGCAAGTCCGCTCTGCAGCCATCTTGGTATCGTCCCTTGGCAGCTTTTTCCAAGCATGCAATTAAAGCACCGATCTGCTTGAATGGGTGAAAAATTAAAAAGGGTTTGCCAATGTTAGTGACCATCTAATATTTTGTTCTCTCTGTTTTTCTCTGACAGGGTAGTTTGAGGAGCAGCAGTCAGATCTCTCCTCAGGAGTTTCTGAGTGAGCTGAAAGGAGGTGCCACCGATGAGAGACTGTTTGCTTGTTTAGACTCCCTCAGAGTGTCACTCACCAGCAACCCAGTCAGGTACTCACTCAAAGAAACCTAAATGGTTTACAACATTAAATTTCAAATATAAGATTAGTCATGCTTTTTGGCTTCAAAGTTTTCCTGTTTCTCTCTAACTTATGTAATTTAGCAGGATATTTTTGCTGTTTTTTCTTCTCTAGAAACCTGCTCCGCTTACACAAACACGCTTTTACTCTGGAAGGCATCCGCAAACTCTTACGCACATCTAAAACTTGACAAACCAGCTTGATATTGCGACTCGCTGTGAATACTCAAACATACACTGAACTATCCAGCCTAGCCACCTACCACATCTGACCTCCGACACTTGCCCATCGGTGTGTAACTCAGCGGCATGCCCCGTGATTTCAGACTAGAGCAGCATTACACACTGGCATTCATTAATATGTATTACCGATTGCCACGTCGCCCCAGGTTTTCCCTCCTACCTCTTAATTGTTTGATGCCGTTTGCGACGAGCTCCCCTGCTGTTCGCCCGCATTTGTACCACAAACATGACAGAGAGGCCTCTCCAGGAGGGTGAAGATGATAAACAATTTTTGAATAGTTTTTTTTGTTTTGAATAGGCTTTGCTTTTTTCCTTTTTTGTGACCATTAAAATGACTATTTTAACAGCATAGTTATAAGTGCAGTTCACCGAGAGACGCATGCTGCGGGGCAATGGTTGGAAGTGTACAATGACAGGAGAAAAAGGTTAATATGAGAGAAAATGCATATTTCATTCTCATGGTAGTGTGACTGTTGATGTCATTCTGTTGTCCTTGGATACATTTTTTATCTTGTTTTATTGTCGCCTTTATAGTTTTTGCAGACTGAGCTTTTTATTGATCTTTCAAAAAAATTTAGGAATATATTGAAGCCTGCACATTTCAAGTGACTAAAAGTTTTTTTTAAAGGCAGTGCTAGGGGCGCCAGAATCATTTGCTTTGTAATCCGAGCACAGACATATAACAAGACATTGTTTAATTTGTTGGATAACGTGACCTTAGAAGCATCATGAGTGCGTTGCTTTAGGACACTCATTTTGTCCAGTGTCCTTTTCATCTGCAACATTTTCCTCATTCCAATCACAAAAAATCCAATAGATAAGTGGGTTAGAGAGCCGAGTGTGTGCGTGCAGATAAAGTTATTACAGGTGGTTAAATTTAATTTGACAGACCACACTAAGCAGTGTGTCTAATTTCAAAGTCTGTGGATGGAAAATAAACCTCATCTGTGATGATGGAGGAGAGAAAGGGAAAGTTGAGAGCACGTTCGAGCAGGAGAGTCGGTGTTAAACTGTTTTCATCAGCGCTGCATTCTTTATTGGCATAATTCATGAAATGTCATGATTTCTATTAGCACCCAAACGTCGTTCTGGCACATGCAGCTGTTCGTTATGGCTGTGAACGTCACGGGCGGAATGATCCACAATCGGAGAGCAATGGCTGACCTTGCGTGGAGAGTGTAGCCTGAACATTACTCACACCTGGTGCCTTATCATTTGTTCCTGTGCAAGGTTAAAACTTCTCCAAACAATTCAGTCTTTTTTTAATGAGTGTTTTTGCCATTGTCTGGCTACAGTATGACACAAAGTTGTTTTATTTGGCTATGCTGATGAAAGCCTGCAGTGTTGTATTTTTATAGGTCACTGGTGTGGGATGAATAAAGCCAGGAAAAGGATAGGAAACAAAAACTCGAGTAAAACTTGATTAGTTGCTAAAAAGGTTCATTGAGTGCGAATGCTCAGTCAAGAGGAAATGCACAACATTTAGACACTCACAGTGGTTTTTTGTTCATTAAGACTAGATTAGCCTGTATTTTAGGTCGTGAGGACCTTGATGAGTATTTCACAGTGGGGGCGGGAATGTAGAGACTAATTCTTCTAATAGACGACATGATGGATCCATGTAGCCTCATTACTGTGAACTTCTCTAGCTTCCACATGCTTTGCAATAAGAAGCAACAGAGAAGGCCGTGACAATTCCCTAATGAAAATGGACATATGGTATTTTATCATAACTAGGATCCCCACAGGTCCCTCTCAGCGATTCCCAGTTGGAAGTCTGGATGTTTATATTCACATGCAGTCAAGGCTGATATTGGCCCACATTGTAAGTCATTTTACTATTATGACAGTTTCTTCTTTTCTTCTTTTCCTTAGAGGCTGAGAAAACTGCCTCATTGTAAGATAGGTTGTTGCTTCTGTTACGAACCCCACTTTTACAAGACTCGATCAGGAAAGGGGTTAAGCAACATAAAAAGGACGCGCAAGACAGGAGATCAATTTAACCATTTATTAATGGTAAAACAGCTTACGAGTCACATTAATGAACCAACAGCAGATATAATAAAGAGTTAAATCAGCTAAACTAAAGCAAAATAAATAAATATGTATCCAGTAAACAAACAAAACACAGATCAACGGAAACATTAAAAAAAACACAAAAATAAACAGAGAGAGAGAGAAAGAGCACCGCTTATCAGCGGCTGGCTGGGCAACAAGACACGCACAAAGCTCACTGGAGGCTCTCCATCGTCAGTGGCTGGATGGCAGCAGCTTCTCAACAAGTGCGAGTCATGCTCAAAGAGCCTGGCAGTGACTGTGGCGGACACGCGCTGGAACAGGGAGAGCACATCAACACAAGCGCAACTTCCGCCTTATATTCAGTCCAGAGCGTCCTTGCTCAACAAGCTGCAGGTGTGTAGGGGCAGAGCTCAACCTCGGGAGAAAGAGATGAGCCAAATCAATATATACACACAATACCCACAAATAAACAGAGATGCACAGTAAATTGGCGCCCATATTGCCATTGGTCACTATTTATAGTGTTAAAATTGTTGGCATCAGTCTGCCTGGTGATTTCAAGTTTTTTTCTTCTTTCTTCAGTTTGAACAGTTTAAATGGAAAATGGGAACAATTTAATAAGATTCAATTCATAAACATTATTTAATGTATCATAAATTAGCATTAAACACACACAGATACGTGTATACAAATAATGATAAAATCTGTTGTTTGTACAGTGTCACCTCTCTGGAGGCCTGAAATGCAATTAAATACAAAGCTTTTTTTTTTAAAGATCCTATCAACTGCCTTACATTTTATAAACCAAAAATTGGACTTATGTGATCGAGGGCAGGTAACGTTTCATCCCATCAGAGTCAAATTGAGCGTTTAACCTGCACCCACAAAGGTGACGATTGTACCTGCCAATGTTTGATTCTGTTAGCTGACGTACGAGGTCCTTCATGTCAACAGAATGAGATGTTGTACTCTGGGGAATCCACTCAGACTTCACCAAGGATAAAAAACATCACACATGGTGTTTTTAATAAATAAATTCTACTATTGTTTTCTTCCGAGTTCAGCTTGATAACTGGGATTCTTTGTAGCGATGGATTTAACACATCAATCATAGTGATTTAAGCTGAATGCTGATGACATTTTGATAAATGCTCTTTGTTTTATGTATCATCCTGTTTGCTGTTTTACTTGTCGAGTTGAGACAGTTCTATCCAGTTAGACAGTTCTAAGTTTAGTTTTAATTTCATATAGATATTCTGTTGTCAGTAGGATGATATGAGCACAGTTTTGCAGCGGTAGATATGTGTGTGTGTGGTTGGTAATGATGAGCTTGATGAGTTTTTTGATCATGTGGGTGAGGCTGGCCATCCTTTGCTTGGCTGGCGTTTGATTTGTACTGTCATTCTCTCTCCTCCTCACATGGGGCATGAACACCAAGGATATGTAGGGGGCATAATTTATACCCATACTTCCTCTTCTGCTCAGGTAAGGCGTCTGATTGGACGAGTGAGTGATGTTTCCATTAGCTATGTGCGCCATTGTGAGTGACATTTATTTTCACTCCTTTTTTGTGTCAGTTCAGGAGTTCATCCTCCCATCACAGCATAATGCTAAATGATTTTGAAAAGACACCTGTTCTGATTTAGCAGGCCTTATCGTGCTCCACTGACTGTGACTGGTTAAATATTGAACGGGATAACCTAAACAAGGACAGGGCATAGTGGAAAGATGGTAATCTTTTCCTTTCTTATGGCTACTCCTTTAACAGGATTATCATTTTGCCATAGAATATCTGCCGTTCTTAACTAAAAAATACAAAAAAATCTCACTTTTTATTGTGAACTATAGAGAAATTCCTGATGTCATTGTATCTTTGCCCATCACATCACTCTTGCTTTATTATAAAGCCTAAGTGGGGTGACTAAGGCAGCATTCTAACTGTTATGAACCATTAAAGTGACTGGTTTGAAACGCTCTTCATAGGTGGCAGCTCCACATAAAAGGAGTGACTCGCAACTGATTCTAGTAGACCTTAGTCAGGGTAGCGCCATATTTAAATTTGGACAGACATAAAAACAAAGCTGTGAGAGAGAGGCCTTCGTTCAATGGATTGTACAGTTGTTTAAGGGCACACTGATTGTCCAGTTAATGAAACGTCTTTCCGGAAAAAAAAGACGGCATAATTGTTACCTGCTGTTTTAAACTGCCTCTGTCTCAGGAATGTGCCTATCATGCCTCAAAATGCTGTCTATGTATGCTTACTAGTTTTTGAAACAGCTATTGATATCACATTAAAATCACAGTCCTTCCATGTGCAACCATCAGCACTTTTCATCCTCTCTCTCTCTCTTTCTTGCTCTCTCTCTTTCTCGCTCTCTCTTTTTCTAATTTAAGCCTGTTCAGTTTTTTAATCTCTCCCTTGTCAGGAGTCCATTCTGCCACCCTGTTGTTGACATGCCAGATTGTGGTTCAGAAGGCCCCAGTGAATTGTGGGAAAGGTGACCTCTGGTGAATGTCTTTTGTGAACCTCACCTTGCTCTGAGATGATAACACCTAGTGCCAAGGTGTCTGATTGGACGAGTGAGTGATGTTTCCATTAGCTATGTGCGCCATTGTGAGTGACATTTATTTTCACTCCTTTTTTCTGTCAGTTCAGGAGTTCATCCTCCCATCACAGCATAATGCTAAATGATTTTGAAAAGACACCTGT